CTGCTGAGTTTGTGAGCCATGAACAAGGTACTAATAAGGTAGCAGGTTGCAGATTAAGAAAAATCTCATCTTTGATTAAAACCGTGTTAATTTTAGTACTGAGATCAGTCCCTTCCTTGGGCCGGTACTGAACTTTCCTCAATAAATGCTGCCTGCCTGATGAGTCTGTGTCCTTCAAGCGCTGGGTGTCTGGTTTGAAGGGCTCTGTGGCTTTGGGTGACTGAACAAGCTTGAGAGATGTGCCTGTGTCAACCTCATGGGGTTCAACAAGGCCAAGCACAAGGTCCTGCACCTGGCTTGGGGCAACCCCTGGTATCAGCACAGGCTGGGGGGGAAGTGCTGGAGAGCAGCCCTGGGTAGAAAAGGACCTGGGGGTGATGAGCTGGCCAGGAGCTGGCCCTGTGTGCTCACAGCCCTGAAGCCCCCAGCAGCCTGGGCTGCACCCCCGGCAGCGTGGGCAGCAGGGCAGGGAGGGGATCCTGCCCTTCTGCTCCATTCTGGGGAGACCCCCCCCTGGAAACTTTCTGAGTGAGGTTGGCTGGGGCTCTGAGCAACCTGCTTTAGTTGCAGGTGCCCCTGCTCCCTGCAGGGGGGAATGGATTTGATGACCTTAAAAAGTCCTTACAAACCAGTCTGATTCTATGGCTGTGCAGACCGCTAGGCTGTTGCACTGCTGGGTCTCTCCAGGCTGCAGGTGATCTCAATGCTGGCACGACCATGAAACCTTAAGTGACTCAACCTCTTACAAATCAAAGCTTGTGTTTATTTCAGAGGTGGTTACTGTTGGGACCTACTTCCTGTGGCCTTTGGGGGCTGTTCAACACCCTGAGGGCTGAAGTGATTCCCACCACTCAACCTCTTTGGGCTCCTTGGCTCCCACACCAGGTCTTGTGGGGAGCATTGCTGCTGCTGGGGCATTGCTGGGGGTGATGGGTCTAGTAGGACACAGTCTACGGGGACCGTGCCTGGGCTCAAATCTGTATCTCCACCCTGTGCACATCACCAGTGCAGGAGAAACTCGCTCCTAGTTCAACCCATTTCCCAGGGTGCTGGAGAGAATACCCTTTAACAGGAGCAAGGCCAGCGCTATGCCACCAGATCTGCAAGTCTCCAGGTGATCAAGAGCCAATTGTAGGAGGCAAGGAGGTGTTTTAAAACTTCAACTGGATTTATTTAAGTTCAGCAGAGCCTGCGAGAGCAACAGCCCAGCCGCGCAAAGCCAGGCGTTGGTTAAACAAGCATAAATGGTCCCTGATGGAAGGATGGTGATGCTACTGAAAGAAGCCAACTCACACAGACGATGCTCTGTGCAAACCCAGGCAGAGTTGTTGAACAGGCGAGTACGTTAGAAAGCTGAGCCTGCTTCAAGTAGAGGGATGATCTTCAAGGTGAGGGAGCAATCTGCCTACTCACCCCCCTGTGTGTGCCACCCAGGTCTTGAGGCAAAGCACTGTGAATTCAGGTTGTGTAGGCACCAAGCTGCTCCCCAAAGCTGTTTGGAGACACGCGAGCTCTGTCTTGCAGAATTAAGGTGGGAGAGCTGGGCCTAAATCAAACACTGAGTTTTCTGGATTGGAATGTGCCAGGCCAACCCTGGGCAGGGGGCTGCAGGAGTGCATGAATGATAGCAGGATGCCCTGGGCTTAGGGGTTCATACTAGAGATGGGTGGAGCAATGCTGGGGTGGCAACATTCTACTGGTGCACCACAGGCTCTACGGGTCTCAGCATCCATACTCTTGGCCATGGATGGCTTACTTCCAGGGATGGTGGTGGGTGGGAGCCTAGGACCGTGACCACCCAAAGTATTACCACGCAGGTGCTGGGGTTGAACACACAGGGTAGGGTCAGAAATTCTCATAGTGATGTGCAAAGTAGGTCTGGTCCTTCTTGTTCAGCTGTTGACAAGCTTTTTCCACGCTCTTCGTCATCCCAGGTGGACCACAGCTGAACACCCCAATCTTCTGCACCTGGGGAAAGGAGGGAGCAAAAGGGGTCAAACCCAACAGCACCCACTCCTCTCACCCCAGCCACCCTCAGCCCTTTGCCCTCCAGCAGCTTTGGGCACAGATGCTGGCTAAGCTGTCTGTCCCAGCCTGAAGATGCTTTTGGGGAGATTGTCACCTCCCCATGTTGCTGCTGGGGCCATGGAGGAAGGACGTGGTACCCCAAGGTCTCTACCAGCTCCTGGCAGTGGCTGCAGCCAGGGTCTTGCCATAGCAAAGGGTGTTTGACTGGTTCTGGGCATTGCTGTCTCTGGCAGCTCCTCCTGCCTCCAGAGGGAAAGTGGGGTTCATACACCCCTTTTGCCCAGCCTTTACTGCAGATGCCACTAAGGACTCCAGGGCCTTGGGGACAGGCTGGAACCAGTCCTCCACACTGGCCCACTGGAGTGGGTGCTCCTCCTCCTGTCCCCACCTACGCACTGACCTCGGGGTGCACCTCCTGCAGTGAGCTGAAGAAGGGTACGAAAGGAGGACGCCCGAAGTGGGTGATGGAGCGCAGCCCCGTGAACAGACTCTTGTTGAGCACCTTCTGGAAGTGCCGCTCGCAGATGTACTGGAACAGAGATCAGTGCATGTCAGATGGCCCAGCGTGGCCCAGCACAGCATGGCAGCCTTCTCGGCGGGTGGCCAGGCTCACCAGCATGGTGGTGCGCAGATCGAACTTCTCGGCCAGTTGTGTGATGTAGATGTGCACAGAGACCAAGTCGTTCCTGTCTGCTTCCTCCACCTCACGGATGATGTCTGCCAGCCACTCAAACTGCCGCTGTGTGCGCGTCACCCAGATGAAGTAGATCTGTGGCACATGGGGGTGAGGCTCAGAGTGGGGTCAGCACTCTTCTACATATCCATGGGGCACCTTCTCAGGTGGATCATGAAGGATTTTACCCCCAAAGAGCCTAGCAGCAGCAGGAGGCATCTCCAGAGGGTTCTTGTCTTTCATATCCTTCCTCTTACCTTCTTACACAGCAGCTTGGAGTTTATGGATGACTTGAAGACCAGGTCTTTGAGGATGGATGCGAAGGGTGTCACCCCAATGCCTCCTCCTACCAGCACTGACACCTCAAACTTGTTCCACTCCTGGTGGCCCTCCCCGAAAGGCCCATCCAGATAGAGCTGGAAGGGAGCCAGCTGTCAGCAGATCATCTCCTGCCTCCACTTGCCCAGGTCTTGGCCACTTTCAGGGCTGGATAAGCACCTCGGGCTGGGCACAACCCATTGCCAAGATGCTCTCAGGCTTGGATGTCCCCATCCCTGGAGAAGCAGCATGGGTCTTACCTTGGGCAGCTTGCCAATGAGGGCCAGGCTTTCTGGGGAGTAGAGCTCCCGCAGGCGGGTGGTCCAGGGTCCCACAGCCCGGATGTGCAGGCTCAGTGTGTCCTCGTGTGGTGCCGAGGTCAGGGTGAAGGGGTGGTACTCGGTGGTGCCCAGGGCCACGCAGGCGACACGCACCCACTGCCCGGACTTGTAGTCGAAGTCCTGTGGCCGCTGGAACCGGAGGTGGGTGACACCTGGGGTAGATGGGGATGGGAACTTCATTCCAGTGGAGACATTGAGTGGTGGAGGTTCCTCCATCGCTACAGCCCCCAATGCTCTTGTGAAGAGCCTGGGCTGAGCCCCCGTGTGACCAGGGATGTTGTGGTACCTGAGGGCAGGAGCTCAGCTTTCACCACACTGATCTCCACCTTCTTCCTGCTCAGGCTGAGCAGCTTGTCTGCGCTGTAGATGAGAGCTGGGATGATGAAGTAGATGTAGAAACGGGGCTGCTGGATCAGTGCATAGCTGCCGTGGATGATGATCTGGGCAGGGAGCAGCCTCCATCAGCACGGTGCTCAGCACAGCAAGCCATCGCTCCGGGGCTGATTCGGTGGCAACTCAGCAGCAGCAGCAGGGAGCTGCAGCTGGGGCCACCAGCTCCCTTGGGACTTCCCCAGTTATTTTATCTCATCAGCTGGTCTGACCCATGGGCTTGCGGTGCATTGGCGCCACCACCCTTGCCTCCCAACCCAAGTGCTTTACCAGGACGTAGAGCAGCACGTAGAGGTGGTGGGTGGTCCAGAAGCCCTGGAAGCTGACGCGTCGGAAGTGGTGGGTGGCAAACACATACATCACAGCCAGAATCACAAGCAGCAGCACTCCTGTCATGCCTGAGGGGTTGGGAGGTCCCAAGGGGGTCAGGACAGCCCAACAGGGGCTCCATCTGGATAGGGCAGAAAGCTGCCCAACTTGAGTGCTGCACAGCCATGCAGATCT